GAGAGAGAGAGAGAGAGAGAGAGAGAGAGAGAGAGAGAGAGAGAGAGAGAGAGAGAGAGGACAGTGAGAAAGAAATGAACAAAAGAAAGAAAGAAATAGACAAAGAGAGAGAGCAAAGAGTGAGCACAAAAGAAAGAAAGAAAGAAGAAAGAAAGAAAAAGTGGAAGGAACAAGAGCGAGAAAAAGAAAAAGAGTGAGTCAACAGAAAGAAAAAGAAAGAAAAAGAAAAAAATGAACAAAAGAATGAACAAAAGAAAGAATGAGAGAAAGAAAATGAAAAAGAGTAAGGAACAAGAGTGAGAAAGAAAAGTGAGACAGAAAGAGCAAAACAATGGAAAGAAAGAAAGAAAGAAAGAAAGAAAGAAAGAAAGAAAGAAAAAGAAAAAGGAAGGAAAAAGAGCGAGAAAGAGAAAAAGAGTGAGGCAACAGAAAGAAAAAGAAAGAAAAAGAAAAAAATGAACAAAAGAATGAACAAAAGAAAGAATGAGAGAAAGAAAATGAAAGAAAGGATAAGACGGAAAAACGGAAAGAAAATAGGGAGAAAAAAAAAAGAAGGAAAGCAAGAAAGAAAGAAGGAAAGCAAGAAAGAAAGCAAGAAAGAAAGAAGGAAAGCAAGAAAGAAAGAAAGCAAGAAAGAAAATAGGGAGAAAGTAAGAAAGAAAGAAAAAGAAAATGAAAAAGAGGAAGGAACAAGAGTGAGAAAGAGAGAAAAAAGAAAGAAAGAAGGAAAGCAAGAAAGAAAGCAAGAAAGAAAGAAAGAAAGAAGGAAAGCAAGCAAGAAAGAAAGAAAGAAAGAAAGAAAGAAAGAAAAGAAAAGAAAAGAAAGGCGATCTCGACCATAACGAGTTGCACTCTAACACTGCAGATCAGGAGGGCACAGGATGCAAGTTTTAAACGAATGGCAAAACTTAAAAAAACAAGCAAACTCAGAGGGAAAGGTATGCTAGTCTGGATGGTTTGTGTGGTTCATCACAGAAAGGAGAAATGCAGGTGTTGAGACCCATCAGAAAGCCAGAAAACCCCAGGTCAGACAGCCAGGGCTATGGTCATCATTTAGCGAGTGACTGAGTGAATCGTTTAGAAGTGCCCAATTAAAAGAATCACTAATTTGCATATAGGCGGCTTTCTCTGCTGCGAGGTTCATCAGGTCCTCAACTTCTTTAACAATATAGACATTTTTAAATAAAATCAATTACTCTATCATTAATAAATACCTTCTTTGTTAATACAAATACTGCAGCCTAAGTCACTTCAGTACAATTAAAATATACACTTGTTATAAAAACCTTTACAACACTGTTTTCTATAATTTCATGCACAACAACTGTAGGTTTGAAAATGCTGGGTTTTGATCAGAATCAAACAAGGCTCCGCCCACATATGCATTCTGTAATGGCTACTGACGCTAATTCGGATAAGCTTTACGGAAAACTGCCAAAAATACCATTCAACCTAATGAGAAACTAATGAGAAACTGTAGCATGTACCATGCAACTGAGTTAAGGTTAGCATGGCGGCAAATGTGACGTCACTTCAAAGCTGTGTAGTTTTGATTAGCAACAAGGTTAAATGGCATTTTTGCCAATGTTCTGTAAAGCTAGTCAAACCTAGCAACAGTTGCTACAATAGGACGCATTTGTGGGCAGAGCATGGACAGATCAATTAACCCGATGATTGATACAAGACTGTACTCTTTATAATAGCTCTACACATGACATGTATTCATGCTTATATGAATTACACCCCATGCTTCTGACCAGAATATGAGAAATAGTAACCATAAAATGCAGCCAATAAACTGTAGGCCACCCACCTTCCTTTAAGTTTCAGCAGGCACACTGCGCCTGTATTAGGCCTAAATCTGATCCTATCAGCCGGGCAACAAAAATGTGCTAAAATACTCAGCTAAGACTGCTCATTGTACCATGGGAGATCAGAGAGATGGGGATTTTCTCAATAACCAAAACTGTGGCAAAACAAGTCTTGGTTCCAATATAAGTCTTTTTGGCTCAGTTGTGAACATGATCATGTTTTAAAAATGTCCCATATCCTACATATCCTTTTCTTGTATTTTATCTATTTATTTTTTGCCCCTGAAGAGAATCCACTTATCACATTTGCATGTTTATGTAACAAAAACAGTCAACATTCATGTTTAAGACCACTTTCCAACCATTCTTTATCCCTTAGAATTAAACAGGCTGTTTTTGTTACTGTGTCTTTAAGACTGATATATGTAAACACTGCCCCGTTTTGAGCATCATTCAGAAAGTATCTTAAGATAAAACATTCCTGACTTCAGAGCGAATTGGCGGGGCTAAACTGCTGTATGCTGAATAGGCTTATATATATATATATATATATATATATATATATATATATATATATATATATATATATATATATATATATATATATACACACACATATGCAAATGCAAAAAGCATGGCAAAGTAGATCAAGCCAAAACTTTCAATAACAAATGAAAATGAAAACAGACTTATTATATTAGCAAACTCATTTCTTCGTAATTAAGTAGTGAAGACGCAAGCAAATTCATTCAGAGAGGTATGATAAGAAAACTACTCAGCCAGAATTGTTCACAGGGGTGGTGATAGGAACCAGACGTCTGAAGAGTTTAATACCTCTAAAAGCTCCCTCTCAGAAAGTGATCACACGAAGCCTCATTTATGAGATCTTGTTCACGAAAGTTTTGGTTTTATGATAGAATGTTCACCCCTAACAAGTAAATACACTCACGGTGGAGACGTTCATAAAGGTGTTTTAATGAAAATAGTGCCCAGAGAAAACACATTTTTCCAGATTTCCCACTATTTTAGCACTATCAACATGACGTATAAAACACTGGACGTTTTTCATGGTAAATAAATTGGCTATAGTTGTGTTGTAGACATTGTGACCCTCGGTTCCTATCACCACCACTGTAAAGAAATCTTGATAATTTTCTCTACAATTAAATATTTCACAAACCACTCTGAATGACTGTTTACATTTCAATCACTGAATTATACAGAAATTTTAAAAATCGGTGGAATTTCCCTTTTAGTTTTTACAATATTACCATAATTAAATGACTAGTTCTATAAACATTGCAACTTAAGGAAGCAGGAGAAATGCCCAAACTGCCATGCAATCTAAGAATCTTGTTATAGCTATTATATCTGCCAGCTGTTTATTTATAAACTGCTCTTTGTTCTAAAATGTCCTTACACTGTAATTCAGTCTCCTTTGTCGGTTTCGTTCTGTGCCTCATCTTCAAAGAATGAGCTCATTGAGCAGGCCTGATGAATGTGCTCAGTGAAGCAAACCGCTGATGGCCTCATCATCATGCACCACTACAGAGATCACGTGGATGCAACAATGACCGATTGCTGTCTCTTTAGCCTGCAATGTTTCTCAGCTGACCGGCCAGCAGGTCTTACAGCTCACTCTGGTGAAAGCACTGGATTACAAAACCTGTTCTATATGATGGCAAAGCAAATGTAAAACTTTTAGCTGCCAGGTTATCGGCCAAACTCCATGTCTAAATCATCATACACTCAAACCACATCAAGTTTTTAACGTAACCTCCAGTAGACTTGTTTACGTGGTTTCTGACACTGTATGACACACTGTCATCTAGAAACATGGAGAAAAGTGTGAACAAAATTCAAGCTGCTATTATTTTTAGCTCTTTTGTCCATTGTCATAGATAACACTGCCATACAGAGTCAGAAACCAATTTTGTATTAATTATGTATTTTGCATAATGCTAATTGGTGGGGTATAAGCTTACATTACTAAGCTACATTAGCCTCTTAACTCCAGTGCATAAATTTCAGACATCAAACACTACACCTTGGAAGTTCAAAGGCATACTTTAGTGTTCCAACACTTTGATAGGAATAAGAGATGCTTCACTTACTTAAAGCTGCACTATGTAAGATTTGGGGATTTGGAGACCTCTCTGGTGGAAATGTGTAACTACACACAACATGCAAAGGAAGAGTTTGTAATTGTGGGTTCAGAACGCTTTGTAAAAGTTGGTGAGGAATGGGTCCTCTGAAGATGTAAGTGAAGTAGTTGTTGTCATCATATATCTTCACTGGTTTGCATTTGAGACATCAACATTGAGTCTGACCTTCTTTTTGAATCTGTGTGTGTGACGTTAATACATAAAGAGTCCCGCCAAATCAGACAAAATGACTTAGATTACTACTTCAGGCTTTACGGGGTGACTCACAGCAGTGCTCGCACACCATATTTTAGCATGTTTTTTTTCCACCTGCCTGAGTAATGCTATTCCTTTCAATTTTAACCAAAAAATCCTAGAAAGTGCAGCTTTAATCTGACCAGTGATATAGACACTATTTTAAGGAATGGTGAAGCTAAGATTTGAGGCCTTACACTTTTTGAAACCAAGACATTTGCCAAAGAAAATGTACAGAACATGTGTTTGATATGACCAGTCACGGGGGATGCATACATTCTTGAGTCACTAATAATTTTTAACACGTGACCACATCACAAAACTAAGGATTTGGCCATCTTCTCTGGCTTCTGATGGCCACAGAGTGTCCTGGTGTGTCTGTTTCTGTCCTACAACCCTGGTCACTGCCTGCAAGGTTCTGCTTACCTGCCACTCTTTCGTCCGACTCTCTGTTCCCGTCATCTGAGTAGCGTGTGAAATCCAGAGAATCCAGGGTGCTGATGCTGCCGGCCCGGTCTGCAAAGACAAAACAAACCAATGACATTCACTGCTCCATTGGTCCCCCAGTTTAAAGGGCATACACTATAAATTTCTTGTATTTTGATTTTTCTCTGTGGTCCACTTACAATGATTGTGTGATTTTATGTATCAAAGCCAGGTTTGTCTATTTTTCAACCTTATATCCCGTAGAATTAAAGAGGCTATTTTGGTAACTGTGTCTGTAAGACCGATATATTTAAATCACCTCTGTTCTGATTGGCTGACCCCTTCAGAAGTGAAATGTTTTAAAAGAAGTGGTTTACAGAACAAACTGTTAGTCTGAAACCCTGACAGACGTGAGAAAAAACTCAGCCATTCCTCAGATGTGTGGGTCCTTTGGAAGGCTGCAATGATCCATTTGCTTCATGACAGCCAGAAACAGTACAACGTTTAATCATTTTCCACTCCATTTACTGTCCTACAGACTGTCTGCAGGAACAACACTCAGCATCACTTCAATAGGAAAGGGCAGGGCTAAACTGATGTAGGCTGAATGGGTGGTCATATAAAAATGTGTCCATGGTTGTGACATCACAACCATCATGAATTTGCAGCTAAACGTTTTGAAATATAATAGATATATGGCATTTTGTTCATATCATGCTACCCTACTTTCCACACTTACAAGTAGTCACATATGGGCCGCATGGACCTGAGAGAACATGGCACATTCTGAAACTTTAAAGGGCCCATATCCTACATTTTTCAGGTTTCATTTTTCCTTGAGGTCCAGTACGCTTATATAGTTTAATAGATCAAAAACAGCCAAAATTGATTTTACAAGATTATTTAGATTTTGTTTCTGTTACTCTGCCTTTAGGACTGTAATATGTAAATCTCTGTTCTGATTGGCTGCCTTATTCAAAAAGCAGCCTGGGCTGTAGTGCTCCTTATAACTACAGTGTGAATGGGCGGAGCTAAAAAGCTATAGGCTGAATTGGTAGATATGTATAAAAACATTTTTCAAAACATCACAAAAACAATGAATTTAAATTGGCCTAATTTTTCAGTTTAGTTTCCATATATGGACTGTATGGAAAGGGGAGTAAATAGTACAGCTTGTTTACATCAAACTCTAGAAAAAGCAGTAAAAATTTGGTTTGTACTGTGCTTATCTCTTATATAAAAAAATGGAATCTATGAAATGGATCCTTTAAGCGTTCTCACCCTTCAGCCATAATCAAATTCACTCAATCCCGTCCTTAAAGCACTGTGTTAAATAAGACATACTGGGCACCTGAAGAGCTTGCCACTTTGGATAAAAGGATCTGCCAGATGAACACAGGCAAATGTAATGCAAAGGATTCCAGACACAAATATAGCTCTCAAGTAATGAAGCAAGACCATCTTCAAGTGAACAGTTCTGTCTTTTCTTCTAACCCTTTTTTAGATTCCCAGAAACAAACCCATACTGACCTAAAAATAAAATCGAATACAGTTTAAATTAAATTTAATAAAGCGTTGTTGTCCTGTGGTCACATTTTGTCTGCACCGGCCCAGCTCAATCCAAAATGAAACGTTTCTCTGAACAATTTCAACCTATAAATGTGAACTAACCCATTCATCAGCAATAAACTGAACTGGCACACCTGCTTCTCCTTTACAAGTGAAATACTTTGCTGTTGGCCTGTTTGGCCTGGACTACAACTGGGTATCAAAATTCTATACTTTTATCATGACTAAATTACTTAAACACTAGCTAGTCATTCAATATCAAATGTCAACACCCAAGCAGTCAGTCTTATCAGCACTTGTGAGCTGCACGCTTATTCCAAAATCTAGATTGATGATCGACCTGTTACTAACACTGGGGGACTGTCTCAGTCAGAAGGCCATCCCTGATTGGTCCAACAGCTGTTTATAATCTGAAATCCTGAACTTCATCTGCCTTGGAGTAGGTTAGGCATGCGGCAAAAGTTGTAATGGCAATGCAGCTCAGTAAAAAATGATCCATTGCTGTGACACAAAATCCAGTGTTAGACTGAACTAAGCCTAATTTTAGCTACAAAAGCAAGTGAGACAGGCCCCAGGAATCAACTGAACAAAAATAAGTACAAACAGCAGCACTCCCACTACATAAACTTCAAAATCAGAGCCTGCCGTGTATGATGCTATAGCAAGGAATGCTGGAACAGATCCTTTTTTGTTGTTTTTGAGCTTTGAAAAGCTTTAATACTGTACATATTAATGAAAGTACTATTTGTACAAAAAGTAATACACACACACACACACACACACACACACACACACATACATATATATATATACACACATACATACATACATACATACATACATCTAAACCGCTTATCCTTCTGGGTCACGGTGGGGTGCTGGAGCCTATCCCAGCTGTCATTGGGCGGAAGGCTGGATACACCCTGGACAGGTCGCCAGTCCATCGCAGGGCAGACAGACAGACATACACAATCACACACTCACTCACACCTAGGGGCAATTCAGCATGTCCAATTAGCTTAACCGCATGTTTTTGGACTGTGGGAGGAAACCAGAGTACCCGGAGGAAACCCATGCAGACACGGGGAGAACAGAAATGACCCTGGTCACCCCTGGTCTCCCTGGTCACCCAGCCGGGAATCAAACCCAGGCCATTCTCGCTGTGAGGCAACAGTATATACACATACATATATAGCCTTGAATATCAGGATATCTGAAGAGTTTATCCACATAAAAATGCAGGTGTAAACTCTCCCAAAATGCATTTTAAAACAGATTCAAATCCGATCGCTCAAGCCACTCAAGGAGGGGGTCTGAGACTTTATTTTAGCCAGGTCTTACACAAGGGTAAATGCATCCGTCTCACCGAGCCACATTCGACGACTAAAACCCCTCCAAGCACAGTGAAGGTGTCTCCTCCTGTCATTCTGCATATGGAGGGAAAACACCCATTTGAGTTTAATTCAGTGCCTGTACTGACCTGAGCTAGTGAAAAATGAAGCGCCAGTTCGGTTAAGCGTTACCTTATTATTATTTACAGTCTCACTAAGATACATTAGGTTTTAACTAGATTGATCAATAGGTCGATTGATTAATCAGGCCTATTAAATGTCATTTTAAGATCTTTGGCATTGCCCAATGCCTGCACTCACGAGGCCGATAAACAAAAAAATGGCTGCAGGCAGCCTTGTCAGTGTGGCTACTGTGGAACGATGTTATTGTTTCCCCTTTATCAATTTTGCCATTCTACAGGCAGAAGTCAGTGGGCGCAGTAAAACAGTGGGAAACAAATCTAATCTAAAACTGCTAATGGCTAACGTTAAATATAATAAGATATATACTATATATTGTTATGTATAGAATAATGCAGTTAAATAATGTCGCTTCTGACATTCTGAACCCTGCACTCTCAAATACCAGTCACATTCTGAAATCTACAGCATAACCCAATGTATTTTTCTGTTTCATTAATTATTAAAAATTCAATCTAAAACAACACTGGCTAGGATAAAAAACATTTTTTTAAAATATCGACATTATGTATCGACGACTAATACAGAAGGCTAATTATTTTAACAGCCATCGTCTTCTAAATATCGGTATAAATCCAGTTAAGTAAATTAATCACACTATGAAAAACTGTGACTTTCCAGGTGACCCTTTTTGATAATGAAACAGGAAAAAATGAACACCACCACCACTGACTGGTTGTTGTACAAGCTAAACTGCATATTATGTGCTGCATAGCAATTGGATTTCAATCAGAATAACTGCAGATGCATTTGATTCCAAAGTGTTAATGCATGTGGTTAAACTCTTATCAGGTTATGATCCTGATACAAGTCACATGAGGCCACTGAATATAAATGGGGTCAAAGCCAAGGCAATGCTATTGGTCAGTCCTAAAAATCAGAATGCTACCCAGCTCTAGTTCAGACTCTTACAGCTATTTATCCACTTGTTACAGAGTAGTGAGTAAACGTCACATGATGGGCCGTAACTACTGCCATGGTAATTCTGCAGTTGGTCATGTGACTCACGAGGTAAAGCCAGAAATTGTATTTATACAATTGTAATTATATCCATAGCCAGGCTTTTGTCCACCCTGGGTGTTTGCCTTTTGGCCATGGCAACATGAATGAACTGCTTCAAAACAAATGTGGCTTATAATGTTTTTTCTCTCTATGCCTTTTACGGTGGGACATATAGTAACAAGGGACTCTAATTGTGATAGTGGAAAGTGGGCAAAAATGTTTATCTCTGCCTGCTTCAGCAGAGTGTTGATAAGATGGAGTTGTGGACTTGCCCTTTAAGCATTAGAAAGTCAGTCTCTGGGTGTGACTTGAATAGCAATCTCTCTTGTCAGATAACAGCGAAGTGCAATCCTGCCTGGACGTATTGCCAAGCTGGTCAACTGAAAGAGGCCAAAGAATATGCACTGCAATTGCACATGTCGCCATCAGTTCAGGTACAGCAATGAAAATAGACATAAAGCGTAGATTTCCATGATGTAGGCTACAGCAGCCATGAAGTGAATGGGAAACTAATACAGAATAGGACTGTTACTATCAACTACATCAGTAATCAAGTTATCTAGCACCACTCATTTGACCACTCATTGCATAGAGTTTTACAACAATTTTAAAAATCTATAATTTTTTTTATTTAAAACTACAAACAAATTATGCACATCTTTTCAAATATCCAAAAATGCACTATTAGACATCATTAAAAATGATAAAGACTTTAAGAAAATGTCATTAGAACAAAACATTGCCTCTTCAACACAACTGCTTTTCAGGGGAAGAAAAAACTTCCTAACTTTTAATGCAGGTTAAAGCAATTAGATTTTTGGACCACTTCTATTGGTCCATTGATCATGAAATATTGACCTCATGTAAGGAGCATCTTTTGTTTTCAAACTATGTAAATGATACAAAATTTTGTTTCAATCGCGATGTGATACTGGTGTCAAGATAACAACAAAAGACAAATAGACAAAACCCTTCGAACCGTCCATA